ATCCAAAATCATCCTTGATCATGGATATTTCCGGGTATCTATGAACACCCTCTGTATCTCTTTTTCCATTTCAACATCTTCGGGCTCCATTACAATTATCTATCTATATTATAATCTTTCCAAGTCAATATCATCATCATGGTGCATACCATATATTAAAAATATTATTGTTCTGGTTTGGTGTGTACGAAACTAACTAAAAAATCTTTCATGAATGCAAACATACTTAACTTAGGAACGTCTTACAGCCAGCGTTGCCAATCTATGCCAGCCAAAAGTCGGTAAAATCAATAGTAATAAATCGGTAGGTTTAAAAATTTATAAATAAAGTCAGAAATTGTTGTTTGATATAGATTTACAAATGAAATTTACATATATCGTCGATTTTTATTTTTTGTTAACCTAAACGTAGCGGATCACGCTCTCTAATTATTTTTATAAATATATAATCATAATATTATATCAACATTGGTTGTTATATCAACATAATGTATTTTAGGTAAATGGGTTTTAATCCATATATATGTTTCACGTCATTATATGTTTCACTTTCCACATCTGCTACATCCCTATTCTCGTTTTCTAAGTTTAGTCCATTAATGATATATCAAAATTTGAATATAATTGAATGTAAATTTGAATGTGTTTCCTAACCTCAACCTTATACAACGAAACTCCTGACGATGGTCTAGGCCGAAACCGGTAGAGTTAATAAATTTATAAAATATATTGGAGTATAAACATTGTTTATTTTTTAAAAAAACACAATGTATTTTTCCATGACGATTTTGTTATAGTTAGAAAAAATAAATAAACAGATGGACAAACATAAACAGTCTATCAAATACTCCATTTTAATTTTTAATATTTTATTTATACAATTAATATCTATACTCTATGTCCAACTTGCTTTTTTAAATGGAACGCCCTATTTAACAGATAATTCAGATAAGTTAATGATAATTCAGAGCCTATTACAAAAAAAAACTATTACAACAAAAGTTATAACAAATTTTATTCTTAACAATATTGCTTTCTTTCACTTTTCCTGTCAAATGTCTAGATATCGACAAAAATACGAAAATATGAAAATTTATTGAATTACGTTGATTTATTACGTAGTTAATGGTAACACTAGGAAATCGGAGCATGCTATAGAAAGACTTTTCGAGCAATAGTTATAGCAAATTTCATTCTTAATAATATTGCTCTCTTGCACTTTTGCTCTTAGATGCATAGATATCGACAAAAGTACGAATAAATGAAAATTTGATGAATTTTGTTGTTTTACAAGTTGGTATCACTCGGGACTCGGAGCGTGTTTTAAAAAAACTTTTGGAACAATAGTTATAGCATATTTCATTCTTAACAGTATTGCTCTATTGCAGTTTTGCTCTTGGATGCATAGATTTCGACAAAATACGAATATATGAAAATTTGATCATTTTTGTTGTTTTACAAGTTGTTAATGGTATCATTTGGGAATCGGAGCATGTTATAAAAAAACTTTGGTAACAATAGTTATAGCAAATTTCATTCTTAACAATATTGTTCTATTGCAGTTTTGCTCTTGGATGCATAGATTTCGACAGAAATACGAATATATGAAAATTTGATAATTTTCGTTGTTTTACAAGTTGTTAATGGTAACACTCGCGAATCGGAGCATGTTATAAAAAAGGTTATACAGCAATAGTAATAGCAAATTTGATTCTTAACAATATTGCTGTCTTGCACTTTTGCACTTAGATGCATAGGTATCGACAAAAATACGAATATATGAAAATTTGATGAATTTCGCTGTTTTACAAGTTGTTGATGGTATCATTCGGGAATCGGAGCATGTTATAAAAAAGACTATTGAAACAATAGCTATAGCAAATTTCATTCTTAACAATATTGGTCTCTTGCACTTATGCTCTAATATGAATAGGTATCGACAAAAATACGAAAATATGAAAATTTGTTGAATTTTGTTGTTTTACAAGTTGTTAATGGTATCACTCGGGAATCGGAGCATGTTATAAAAAAGCTTATATAGCAATAGTAATAGCAAATTTGATTCTTAACAATATTGCTCTGTTGCACTTTTGCACTTAGATGCATAGGTATTGACAAAAATTCGAATATATGAAAATTTGATGAATTTCGTTGTTTCACAAATTTGATAATGGTAACAGTCGGGAATCGGAACGTGTTATAAAAAAACTTTTGGAACAATAGTTATAGCAAATTTCATTCTTAACAATATTGCTCTCTTGCAATTTTGCTATTATATGCATAGATATCGCCAAAAATACGAATATAGGAAATTTTGATGAATTTCGTTGTTTTACAAGTTGTTAATGGTATTACTAGGAAATCGGAGCATATTATAAAAAAACTTTTGCAACAATAGTTATAACAAATTTGATTCTTAATAATATTGCTCTCTTGCACTTTTGCTCTTAGATGCATAGATATCGGCAAAAATAGGAATATATGAAAATTTGATGAATATCATTGGTTTACAAGTTGTTAATGGTATCACTCGGGAATCGGAGCATGTTATAAAAAAACTTTTGCAACAATAGTTGTAGCAAATTTGATTCTTAACAACATTGCTCTCTTGCAGTTTTGCACGTAGATGCATAGGTATCGACAAAAATACCAATATATGAAAATTTAATGAATTTCGTTGTTTTACAAATTGTTAATGGTATCACTCAGGAATCGGAGCATGTTATAAAAAAGCTTATACAGCAATAGTAATAGCAAATTTGATTCTTAACAATATTGCTGTCTTGCACTTTTCACTTAGATGCATAGGTATCGACAAAAATACGAATATATGAAAATTTGATGAATTTCGCTGTTTTACAAGTTGTTGATGGTATCATTCGGGAATCGGAGCATGTTATACAAAAACTTTTGAAACAATAGTTATAGCAAATTTCATTCTTAACAATATTGCTCTCTTGCACTTTTGCTCTTAGATGCATAGATATCAACAAAACTACGAAAATATGAAAATTTGATAAATTTCGTTGTTTTACAAGATGTTAATGGTATCACTCGGGAATCGGAGCATATTATAAAAAAACTTTTGCAACAATAGTTATAGCAAATTTGATTCTTAACAACATTGCTCCCTTGCACTTTTGCACTTAGATGCATAGGTATCGATAAAAAAAAGGAATATATGAAAATTTGATGAATATCATTGTTTTACAAGTTGTTAATGGTATCATTCGGGAATCGGAGCATGTTATAAAAAAACTATTGAAACAACAGTTATAGCAAATTTCATTCTTAACAATATTGGTCTCTTGCACATTTGCTCTCATATGAATAGGTATCGACAAAAATACGAAAATATGAAAATTTGTTGAATTTTGTTGTTTTACAAGTTGTTAATGGTATCACTCGGGAATCGGAACATGTTATAACAAAACGTTTGGAACAATAGTTATAGCAAATTTCATTCTTAACAATATTGCTCTCTTGCACTTTTGCTCTTAGATGCATAGATATCAACAAATCTACGAAAATATGAAAATTTGATAAATTTCGTTGTTTTACAAGATGTTAATGGTATCACTCGGGAATCGGAGCATATTATAAAAAAACTTTTGCAACAATAGTTACAGCAAATTTGATTCTTAACAACATTGCTCTCTTGCACTTTTGCACTTAGATGCATAGGTATCGACAAAAAGACGAATATATGAAAATTTGATGAATTTCATTATTTTACAAGTTGTTAATGGTATCACTCGGGAATCGGAGCATGTTATAAAAAAGCTTATACAGCAATAGTAATAGCAAATTTCATTCTTAACAATATTACTCTCTTGCACTTTTGCTCTTAGATGCATAGATATCGACAAAAATACGAATATATGACAATTTGATTAATTTCGTTGTTTTACAAGTTGTTAATGGTATCACTTAGAAATTGGAATATGTTATAAAAAAGCTTTTGCAACAATAGTTATAGCAAATTTGATTCTTAACAACATTGCGCTCTTGCACTTAGATGCATAGGTATCGACAAAAATACGAATATATGACAATTTGATTAATTTCGTTGTTTTACAAGTTGTTAATGGTATCACTCAGAAATTGGAGCATGTTATACAAAAACTTTTGGAACAATAGTTATAGCAAATTTCATTCTTAACAATATTACTCTCTTGCATTTTTGCTCTTAGATGCATAGATATCGACAAAAATTAAAAAATGTTAAAATTAATGAAATTTTCATATAATCCTATATGAAAATTTCATTAATTTCGTTTATTTACAAGTTGTTAATGGTATCACTACGGGAATCGGGATATGTTATAAAAAGCTTTTGGAACAAAAGTTGTAGCAAATTTTATTCTTAATCCAAGAAATACATTCACTTTATTCAGACCCAATTCACAAATTTGTATTCAAAATCAGTTATTAAGAAATTATGTTACAGAACATATCTAAAAAGTTGTGAATTACTAAGAAAATTTTATTTCAATCCTATATTTTAGTAAAACAATTTTTTTGCCGAATAAATTTTAAGTTCATCTACTTTACTGAAATGATAGAAGAAGAAGAACCAAAGAGTTGAGAATTCTCGCGCGACTTTTCAACGGCAGCACGTAACCGAATAAATCAGATAACGGCCGGGGCTCATTTCCCTTTCTGGCCGGAGGTATTAATAAAAAGTGCCCCCGAAACCGATAAATAACACGGAGAAGAGTCTCTCGGTCGCACCGCACGACGACCATCAGGAGCAAAACGAAACTTGGGGGGAATTTCGCTACGCCGTCGCAACGTAGAGGTTCTCGTTCTTGGGGGAGGGCTCTAAATTTTCGGACACGAAGAACCATCGACAGGTACGGTCACGCTATTCTGCGGATCACAGTTTCTCAACTAGTTTTTTTTATTTATTTTCATGGGGTTTGTTTTCAACGAGAAAATGTGGCTGTTGAAAATCATTTCTACACTTTTGATTTCATTTAAAATCGCTCCTTATTATCCAATCATGAGAAGATGAAATTTTATATTAATAATTAATCGGTTGAAAGATAAACTGTGACCTTAGTTGTTACGACCGATCTCATTAATACTCTAAATGCATTGATTGTGAGAGGTGGATTCAACATTTTAGTATGCAGCATAATTTTAACTTGTTTATATTTTTGATTGCTTTTTTATTTGGTGTAAAATTTGGCTCAGGTAAGCAACTTATATATTAATTTATTAATTAAAATTTCTTAATTAATGTTGTTTCTTAAGCTAATGATTATTACTGGAGAGATTATAACGGTTCAATCCCAAATGACGCAATTGCAGTTGATGACGATTTATATATTGGACAAATTTATTCGCATTCCAGCGTAATTCCCGGCTCTTTATTTCCTGAACGAAACAAATTCATTTACGAATATATAGGACAAAGAGAAGCTAAAAGTGATATAAAAGTTTATAAAAAAACTTGGTTGGTGTTTTCACTTATTATTAGTTAACAACAAATTGTTGTAGATTTTATGTGCTCCAAATCCGGATGAAATGAAATGGGTTAAATTAAACATGGCAGAGATTTTTGCTGAAAATCCTCATTTCTATGTATCTCAGTTTGAGACAACTCCAAATTGTGTGTTAATTCCCGGTGGGTATGAACACGAAAAATATCGGTGGTACATCGGAAAAATTTATCATGAAAATATGTGGAAAATTAGTAAAGTGGATTTGAAACATTTTAAGGCAATTAGCGTATGGTGTAATAATGGTGGTTTTGAACGTATTCAAAATTTTGAGGTGCTATATGCATGCAAGAAAAATGAAGAAAAATTATCTTAAAGAGTTATAAACAAAGAGTTTGTTAAAAAAATTGTAATGGGAAATAAAACTTAGTTTTCTTTAAAATGCTATAATCTAAAATCTCTTGAAAGCTATAATCCCTAACTGTGTATGTAGAGTTGGATTTCAAAAATCATAACAAAAATGTTTATGAAAAATAAGAAATTATTTATGGCACTCTCTTGGAAACGATGCTTTAGGGTTCCAGCAATTAAAGAGCAGACATAACAAGTACAGTTAAAGCACCAAGGCAAAATTGAGATATATGCCAAGTAATTGGAAGAAACACTAGGTGCAAGTAAACCATGTGACGAGGATCTGGGACGAAAAATTTAAGGAAATAATATTGGAAGTGGTTTCAGAAGTGCTTTGCTTACTGAATGCGAGATAGAAACGAGCTGTTTGGTGGAATGACGAAGTTAAGGTTGAGATAAAGAAACACTGGAAAGAAATAGATGGAGGAACACTTTTAAAACCTCTTAAATGCGAATAAAGTCAAAACCAAGAAAAATAAAGTGAGGAGCCAAAATATTTCAGAGGAAGTTAGTTGAAAGCTTTGCTGCAGGATATGACGAAATTCCACCAGAAATGTTGAAATTCTTAATTGAAAGTGGTGTAGTCCGAGAAATAGACTGAGCAGTAAGGAAATATAACAAGATGTATAACGTAAATCTAAGATCCTAGAACAGTGGATCATAGAAGAAAGAGAGAGCAAATATTTTTTTTATTAATTAATTGTAAACAATTACGAAAATGCTAAGTCAGTACAAGAAGAAAATGTGGGATAAGATCCTCATAGAGGGTTGAAAACACCTAAATTGAAACATATGGGAGGAGCTTCTGAACAAGATGAGAAGGAAGCCAATATCCAAAATGTGATTACAAGTCTAGCTAGTAATGGCCATTCGACGACAAAGAAAACGTTAACTTTTTGGCAGACCATTTGAATGCCAGTTCGATAAGAATACAGAAATTGATGATAATATTCAAAAGTGTTAAAGATTACGAAGAGAGAGGTTAGAAGGAGAATCGGTATATTAAGTCCAAGAAAAGTGGCAGAAATTGATGGCATCCTAAACAAGGCACTGGAGATGCTTCTAAAAAATGCAAAACATTCCCAGACTCGTGGAACTCTGGGAAAAGATGTATCGCAGAAGTGTCATTAAAGGTATGATTGTTAAAGATTACGGAAAAATTCTGTTAAAGAGACTACAAGAATGTTGAAGATGTAGAAAGAAAAAGACTACTTCCGAAGAATTAATTTGGATTCAGGGATTGTAGAGGCGCTATCCCAGAAGAAAAGAATCTGGCGATTATGGTGATAGCAGATGTCGAAAAGACTCACGACCGTCTGATAAGATGGCCTATTGGCAAAGATAGTTGAAGTCAACCTGGAAGGGAAGCTAGCCAAAGTGACGGCTTAGTTTCTAAGAAATAGGTACTTTCAGGTGATAATGAGAGATAAAGAGTTCGTCGTAAGAAGAATGAAAGAAGATCTGCAGCAAGAATCTACACTAATGATGGAACGGATAGAAATATCTATATATTTATAGATTTTATCCGAATTTTTAAAACTTAATTGGCGAAAATTACAAAATTCGAAAAAATTGTCGATTATTTAAAAAAATTTTTTCTCAATAACTAAAGGTGATTTTTCAAAACGGCTTGTTGCATTAAAAAGAGGACACTTTAATTAATAATTGGTGATATTTCCACAAGGATCCTTCAAGAAATTAATTTTATAGTGAATTTTGAAAGTTATCGATGAAAATTGCAACATCAAAACTTCAAATATTGTTTTCTCAAAAAGTAAAAGTTATTTTTCAAAACGTGTTAGTTCATTGGAAAGAAGACACTTTTATTAATATTTTGGGAAATTTTCATACTCATTTTCCAAGAAATGGATTTTATAGGAATTTTTAAAACTTAATCGGCGAAAATTGCAAAATTCGAAAAAATTGTCGATTATTTCAAAAATTTATTTCTCAAGAACTAAAAGTGATTTTTCAAAACGGCTTGTTGCATTAAAAAGAGGATACTTTAATTCATAATTGGTGATATTTCCACAAGGATCCTTCAAGAAATTAATTTTATAGTGAATTTTGAAAGTTATCGATGAAAATTGCAACATCGAAAATTTTATCAAATTTTCAAATATTGTTTCCTCAAAAATTAAAAGTTATTTTTCAAAACGTGTTGGTTCATTGGAAAGAGGACACTTTTATTAACACTTTGGGACATTTTTATACTCATATTCCAAGAAATGGATCTTATACGAATTTTTAAAACTTAATTGGCGAAAATTACAAAATGTCGATTATTTCAAAAATTTATTTCTCAAAAACTAAAAGCGATTTTTCAAAACGGCTTGTTGCATTAAAAAGAGGATACTTTAAATAATAATTAGTGATATTTCCACAAGGATCCTTCAAGAAATTAATTTTATAGCGAATTTTGAAAGTTATCGATGAAAATTACAATATCGAAAATTTTATCAAAACTTCAAATGTTGTTTTCTCAAAAACTAAAAGTTATTTTTCAAAACGTGTTGGTTCATTGAAAAGAGGACAGTTTTATTAACATTTTAGGAAATTTTCATACTCATATTTCAAGAACTGGATTTTATACGAATTTTTAATACTTAATCGGCGAAAATGGCAAAATTCGAAAAAATTGTCGTTCATTTCAAAAATTTATTTCTCAAGAACTAAAAGTGATTTTTCAAAACGACTTTTTGCATTAAAAAAAGGATACTTTAATTAATACTAGAATGTGATAACAGCGACAGTTCTGTTAGTAATGAATGTGGTTATGAATTACAAGCGAAGAGAAGAAAACTAGACGAAACTGCAACAAGAGATTTTATATATCGTATTAGGATTGTTACAATGAAGTTGCTAAAGACAAACCTGATATAAATAAAGTTGTATTCAATGAAAAAAGTCCAATTGGGGTTGAACTTGATTATTATCTGCAGTGTCCAAAACCTAAAAGAGTACCAATACTGCTATATTGGTTGCATAATTGCAATGATGACGTCGGGTACGATAATTAATTAACACACTGTAGATCCTATAGGAAATTTTTCNAAAACACCTAAATTGAAACATATGGGAGGAGCTTCTGAACAAGATGAGAAGGAAGCCAATATCCAAAATGTGATTACAAGTCTAGCTAGTAATGGCCATTCGACGACAAAGAAAACGTTAACTTTTTGGCAGACCATTTGAATGCCAGTTCGATAAGAATACAGAAATTGATGATAATATTCAAAAGTGTTAAAGATTACGAAGAGAGAGGTTAGAAGGAGAATCGGTATATTAAGTCCAAGAAAAGTGGCAGAAATTGATGGCATCCTAAACAAGGCACTGGAGATGCTTCTAAAAAATGCAAAACATTCCCAGACTCGTGGAACTCTGGGAAAAGATGTATCGCAGAAGTGTCATTAAAGGTATGATTGTTAAAGATTACGGAAAAATTCTGTTAAAGAGACTACAAGAATGTTGAAGATGTAGAAAGAAAAAGACTACTTCCGAAGAATTAATTTGGATTCAGGGATTGTAGAGGCGCTATCCCAGAAGAAAAGAATCTGGCGATTATGGTGATAGCAGATGTCGAAAAGACTCACGACCGTCTGATAAGATGGCCTATTGGCAAAGATAGTTGAAGTCAACCTGGAAGGGAAGCTAGCCAAAGTGACGGCTTAGTTTCTAAGAAATAGGTACTTTCAGGTGATAATGAGAGATAAAGAGTTCGTCGTAAGAAGAATGAAAGAAGATCTGCAGCAAGAATCTACACTAATGATGGAACGGATAGAAATATCTATATATTTATAGATTTTATCCGAATTTTTAAAACTTAATTGGCGAAAATTACAAAATTCGAAAAAATTGTCGATTATTTAAAAAAATTTTTTCTCAATAACTAAAGGTGATTTTTCAAAACGGCTTGTTGCATTAAAAAGAGGACACTTTAATTAATAATTGGTGATATTTCCACAAGGATCCTTCAAGAAATTAATTTTATAGTGAATTTTGAAAGTTATCGATGAAAATTGCAACATCAAAACTTCAAATATTGTTTTCTCAAAAAGTAAAAGTTATTTTTCAAAACGTGTTAGTTCATTGGAAAGAAGACACTTTTATTAATATTTTGGGAAATTTTCATACTCATTTTCCAAGAAATGGATTTTATACGAATTTTTAAAACTTAATCGGCG